GAAAACAGAAACAGCAAGCTTAACCCAACTTCAAAATACACAAAAAACTCCCAACAAAACAACTCAAAAGAAAAGGAAAACCCATATCAAGATTAGAATTTGAATCTAAAATTTCAAAAATTATCTGGTTCTACCACAATAGTCTTGATCTCTTTGAACCAGTAGCTGGAGGACTGATCTGTGGCACAGTAAAACCATCATCTCTCCATCTGTTAACTTTTTCGTTTGTACTCTCTTTTGTCTCCTTTATTCCAACCTCTTGACTGGGATGTAAAGGAGGTTGCGCCTGAGGAACCCAAATCCCCAAATTCTCTGACGTAAAATAGTTCATATCACTGTCAAAATCAGAGTCCACAAAAGGCAACACGCCATCATCACTCTGCAAAAAAGGGGATTGGAGAAAAAAGTAAAAAATCAATCAGATCTCATCAAATCAAACTATATATATATATATATATATATCTCAAGTAATCAAATTCATACCTTAGAGAAACCCAAATCGGAATCAAGTAAGTCTTCCACATGCCACCCAGGTAGCATCTCTATCAAATATTCTGATATTGTTGAACCACCTCCTTGGCCTGCTAACAGATTATTACCAGCTTTGTTCATGGTAATCGAAGTTTTGGAACATGAAGATGGGTTTGAATTTGCAGGAGCAACTGATACTTTTTTCTTGGCAAGAGGAGCAGGAACAGGATCCCCGCCGTTGGTTACAGACGCTGATGAGGAAGAAGACATGTAGAGAGAAGCAGTAGGGGAGAGTTTAATCCCCGTAAAAAGAAACCTGTCATGCTTCTTGGTAAGCTCATTAGCGGTATGAATTGGCATATCACAGTCTCTGCACAGAGTTGCCCTGTCCTGTTGACAGAATAACAAGGCTCGTCTCTCCTACAAAATAGAAAAACAAAACCCTAATCACGCAATTGGGATCCCAAAAAAGTTGAACATCAATCAATAAGGATAGGTATAGAAGATCGAAGATAAACCTGGCAGACATCACAGAGAGGGAACTCCTTAGCAGAAGGATGGATAAGTGAAAATCGCTGGTGCTTAGAAGCAAGCTTGTTGGCATGATGGACACGGTAGTCACAGGAATCACAGAGAGCAGCCTCGTCTGCAGTGCAGAATACGGAGGCTTCATTCTTGTTACAGACATCGCACTGGATCTTCATCTAGGTTGATTGAAGGTGCAGCAGAAACAGAGGAGGGAAAGAGAGCGTTGAAGTGTTGGGATGAAGAAGAAGAGAGAAAGAAAGTAGAAAGAGAAAGAGAAAGAGAAAAAGGGTGAGAAGGAATTTATAGGCGGATGAAGGGTAAAGAGATAAAACTGTTGAAAATGATACAAGGAGATGTCGAGATTTGTTGCTGTCTGCCATGTAAGGGTGAGAAGGGACACGGTGATAGGGTTTCGTTTAGGTGGTCTCTTCTGTTTTTTCAGCCTCCATGGGTGAAATTTTTGCAATCTTAAGATTTTCCCATTAAAATATTCATCAATATTCATCAGCTCAAGCTGGATTAAACTGGGAGAGGAGTGGATGTTTGGCAAGTTTTGGTACTATCTGATCTACTTATGTGATTCATTAGGATATGAAATTATTTAAATATAATTTAATGGGAGGCTACGACACTGAATTTAAAAGTCGGCTTTCATAAAAGAGAGTATGATGGAGTTCATGCAAGGAGGAGAGTATTGGTGCGTTGGGTTAAATAATTAAAAAAAAAAAAAAATTAAACTAATTAACTGTGACTGTGTAATAATGTCTTACTCGGGTAATATTGTGCCCTTTAAGTTTTCTAAAAGTCAAAATAGAAACTAATGTCTATATAGATATACATATGTGTATATATACGTAATTATTTTATATATAATAAATTAATAATAATATGGGGAACTGGGCAGTGCTGGACAACCGGCCTACACGCGCCCACCCCTCTTTTAAGTAATTAGTTATATATTATATGATAGAATTATGTTATAAATAACATACTTTTTTATAATATACTATAAAAAAAACTAATATATTATATTAAAAATTAATTTAATTTTTCATTCGGGAGAATCGAACCCGAGTTCTTAACTAATTTAATCAGTTTAACGATTTTTTTTTTTTAGTTCGATTTAATTGGTTTAATCATCCTATTTATGATTGGTGCTTAAAATGCCAATTTTGTAAGTTTGCTTGCCATTTTTCTCGATCCCTCTTGCATCAATACGGAAGTAAGAATCATCGAACCTCTAACTTTTAATTTTGTAAGTTAAATAAGTATCATCTCACTCAAAAATCAAGTCTTATATTAATATAAATAATTTATTTTAAAACGAAACAAAAATATTAAATTTTTTTAAAGTAAATTATAACATTTATCTATAAGTTAATATTTAGAACTATATCTTACATAATAAAAAATATTAGTAATATATATAATGGACAAATTATAATTAAAATTTTCAATAATAGAGTTAACATCTATTGAATTAAAAATAATAAAATTTTTCGCACTTAAAATAATATCATTTTTTAAATATAAACAGTAAAATATATTATTGTAGGCACCAAAAGGATGTCACTTAGTGTACAAAAAAATTTATGTCTATTAAATTATCTAAAAAGGTACTTAATATAATATTATTATAAGAACTTTGAGAAATGGCTTGGAGCTAAAGCCTCCCATAATACTTCGTAATTCCAAAAGCAATTTAGATTTTGACGCATGATAATATGATAAACATAAATAATAACTAAACGATATATGATTATATTCATAACATGATTCGAAGGTATAATTCAACAAAAAGAACGCGACTCATTTAATAAAGCATTTGAATATGAAACAATATTTGAATGATAACCTTCTAAAACTATTTTATTTTCCAACTCATTCTTCCATCAAATAGTCTCTTACATTAAATTACTTAATACTTAAACATATTATTAAATATAATTACTCGTGAAAGTATCTAGTTCAAATGACATAACACCGTCACATAATTTAAGTTCAAATTATATCTTTCATTAATCAAAAAATATATAATAATTTAAAGATATTTTTATAATAACAAAGAACACATACGAAAGAAATATAAAAAAATAAGGATAATATCAATAACCTTGGAATTAAACAAGATTTTCTTACAAATTAGAGTTTATTTGTATCATTGCTCATCTTTTTTGGGAATGAAAAATAACATGTTATATCAATCATTTTCATTAATAAAGGTGTTCATGGGCTAGGTTACGCAGGCACGGTTTTGTAAGCCTTTTAGAGTTCGTATTTGCTTTTTGCTTATATATTTTCTTTGAAAAATTAAGAAAAAATGTATATATATTTTATTATAATTGTTTATTTTTCAAAATAATTTTTAAAATGATAAAAAAAATTAACATAAATATTTTATTATATTTTTTTCAAATTTTATAAACAATCTAAAGTCAATACGACTAAGCATCTACTCTATAAATGTCCACTTAATAAGGCTACTATAGTGTACCTCACCATGGGGAATTCAATTTTCAAAATTTACTCAATTGTTAGTCACAAAATAGAGATATGACCTAATCCTCATGTGAAATCACAACAAAGATAATTAAAAAAGCCTATGGAAAGTTATCTTTCTCTATGCTATAATTATGACATTTTACTTATGCTACTAAGATATCAAGTCATACATTTTAAATCTACAGGTCATTCAGTATATTACAATCAAGTAACACAAATAGTATACATGCACTACCAACAAAATGTAGATACCTTGATTGACATATGCAAAGCAAGTTATAAATCCTATTGTTGAAGATATA